CCTCCCTGAATCCAGTACCTCCCCGCTGCGTTGCACTCTACGTGCCGTTACAGATGTGCTTTGGGCTGTCAGCAGGGCCCGTGGTCCAGCTGCAGTGCCTCTGCCCACCGTCATTCCAGGACGTTATGTCATGGTTGAAAGTTTACACAACTTCAGCTGCAGGGCAGAGGCCCAGCCAGGGATGGAACCAGCTCCCCAGGGATCGCTGCAGCTGGTTTCCAACCCTAGTTTATCAGGAAACAGGAAGTATCCATAGTGGGATACTGGGTCCTGGTCTATGGAACAACAGATGAAGCCAGGGCAGAGCACGGAGATGGAGCTATCGGCTGAACAAACAGTGCAGCCTTTGAGTGCTCAGAAATGCACATTGCTGGGTGACGTCTTCCCATGGCTCACAAGGGGCCTGGGCACTGCTCCAGGGGCGGGATGCAGGCTGAGGAACAGCGGAATCATGGATGAATATAGGGATTGTTGGACAACACGGGACAGCTTGACTGCGAGCGTAACACCGTCCCTGGTGTCTGGTTCATGAGTCAGCACTGGCACCTTACAACTGGCTCACAACAATAAAGCCACCTTCCCACTGCAGGCCAGGTCCCTTGCTCTGTCCCGGCAGTGTAATGCAGGATAACTGCCTCCACATGACGGATTGATGCTGGGGACAGACTCCACCTTTGAGCACATCCAGGACTGGAAGAAAACCCAGACCCAAAACAAAGCCCAGCGGTGGGATTTGCAGCCTCCTGTACAAACGGGGGCTGCACAGGCTTGCACAAACACAGGACGAGGGATGAGGAAGCCTTTAACTAAAAGCAGCCAACTGGAAAGGTCCTACGGGGTAATTACAACCATAATTAATTTGCATGATGCACAAAGCATCATGAAGGGCAGTGCTAGACTTTGTCCACATCTACTCTGCCTTTGCATTATAGCAGTAGCAGTATCCAGAGGTCTCTGGTGACAGCACAGCTGTGGAGCTGTTGGTTTGGAAATGGGGGGTGGAAGTAGAGTGCAAGACATCCCATACAGCTTGGGCATGGACCAGCATTACTAAGAGGATCAGCATGCCAATAGCACAGGGTCGCACAGAAACCCACGCCTGGCAGCAGTGCCAGGGAAGCAGAGGACAAAAGCAGAGGCTTAGAGGCTGTTCCTTAGGAGTGAGGGGTGGGAGAAACAAGAAACAGCCTTGGAGCTGTTTCTCTTGGAGTGAGGAGAGCAGAGAAGGTTCTGCTGGGAACCAGTTGGTTCCTGGGCCTTTATCATCATTTCACATCATCAAATATTTATTACATTTACATCCAAAACTGTTTGCTAAGCAACAGATGGCTTAACTGGGAGCAATGTGATGACTGTGTCAATTAACCATTCTAGCACCACAGAGGAAATCATACCTCCAGCTCCACTCTGAGTACTTGTTACTTTGCTCCTCATCCTCCACAGAGCTTCACCTTGTTGAAGTAACTGATTTTTCCAAGGAAATAAACCCAAATCCCTCTTTTCCCCCCACCACATGCCTTGGAGGCAGCCAGATCTGGTCCCCAGCCTCAAGGCCCTTCCAGCCTCCTTCAAATGAAGCCGGTGCCTTTCAGGTTCCTTTACCTGTTTCCTAGCGTGCTGTAAGCCTGTGTGGTTCAAGGCATTGTACCAGGATGCCTTAGGACATAGGAGGAGAGGCTCAAATCCCAGCCAGGGTACTTAGAAGTGACATGGAAACAGTAGTGGTGTCCTCTGAGGTGTTTCATTCTCATGGTGTTCCCTCTGGAAAGGCTTTCTGGATTGAAGAAAGGGGTAAAAATGGAGCTCTGGTTGCTTGGTAGCATGGCTTTGCTTATTGGCAGGCTTTCTAAGCATGAACAGACATCAGTGCTGCTTGGGTTCAGCCACAGCCTCACCTTCCATGAGCAGGAGAATCTGTGCCTCTCAGCATTAAAGCCAGAATACAGCGACGATGAGCCTTTTCCAGCCATTGAGAACTGATGATGTGGCTCCAGTTGCATCATACCCTGTGCACAGAGGATGCAGCCATACCCCGAGAGAATGAATGAGCTAAAATTAGAGAGCCTAAGCTGGGGATAAGTGGGGACACCTTTTCTGTTCATCAGAGGCATTTGTGTGCAGAAGGGCTGTGTGCCAGCTCAGTCGCATCTGGATCCAAACAGAGCAGAGACCAGACCCAGCCACTTCCAGCCTTCAGCTCCCCTGCAGCAAGCTCCCAAGAGAAGTCCTCCTCACAGTCACCCCATTGCATTCCCTGATCTTCCCACTGCCAGCATTCCAATCTAAGCAAAAGAGCAAGGTGCAGCCCAAGAGAAGGGCTCTTAAGGCCAACCTTATGGTGTCTGGAGCCTAAATACCACCTAAGTGCTGGGGCAATCCCTCCTGTATAAATAAAACAGCCTTTACACTGCTCTGAGTTAGCCAGAGGACCAGAGGAAGCACAAGAACCAGCCCATCACCTCACTGCCACTGCAAGACTGATCATCCTCAGCCACAGAAACTTTTGGGCCAAACCATCTGCAATGCAGGCTTAGGACTTTACAGCTGTAACCTCTAAAGGTCTCCAGATTTAAGGATCTTATTTTAATTCCTCCTCCTCCTGCCAAGCATCTGATTGCTTGCATGCTAAGAAGGAAAATGACACAAGGTGCTGAGCTTGCACCACTCCCAACTCATACGTGTAAAGACACAGGGTCACCAGTGCTCCGGTGACATTGGGGTGAAGCCAGGGACTCAGTGCTAGCACCCACTAGCACCCATACCTGCATCATCCAGCCTAACCTGGGGTGTTCCATAAAGCTGCAATTCACCATCAGCTTCCCCAGAGGATTCGCTGTACTGGGGAGCAGTTGGTACCCCAAATTCAGTCCCCTCATGATGCAGTTATCCCAGCTCAGGGGACAAGCCATGCAGCTCGCCTGTCCTCCAGCAGCGCAGCAGTTAACTCGCTGTCCTTCCTCCCCAGTGGCAAGCCAGAAGGACAGAGTTTTGCCTGCAGTAGCTGAGCCACTTACTTATTTAGCAGTGCAGTACAGCAGGTAGCTTATGGAAGTGGAAAGTTTTCAGTGACTAATTGCCAAGCTGCTTGGGAATGACAAGAGGGAATAGAAAAGTCACAGGAGACAAGGAAATAAGATGACAGCTAGGTTAGCCTGAGGAAGGTTTTTCCTTCCCAACCCTAGGAAGGAAAAACAAAAGAATATAAGAATATATATATATGTATGTATTTTCCTAGAATAAAAATTCCCCTGCCATGTGAAGACAGCAAGAAATAGGGGCATAAGAGAGTCTCACCCAGCAACTTCCAGTATCTCCCTCCTCGTTTCTCACAGAAGCTCCTTTCTCCATCTGCTGTTTACCCCAGGCACACAATTCCAGCTGTGGGAGGGAGCAGAATTAAAGGGGCTGCTGGAAAAGGAAAAGGAGAGGCAAAGGAAAAAGAACCCAAACCCCAAACATAATAAATCAGAGCTTTCCATAACCCCCATCCTGAAACAATCATCTTACAGTGGCATTTCTCCTTGGCAAGGCCATGCGCGAAGGATTTATGGTCCAGGTCCTGAAGGACGTTCCCTCCACAGCAGCCTGAGCCTGAGGGACTGGGAGCCCAGGACCAGCCACTAACACCCTGCACTCGGAGGCTTTTCCTCCCATCCCAGCATTTTCCAACCCTCTTCCTTTCCTCCTGTATCAGCCAGCGCTGGCCGGTGACAGGGGAGATGCACTGACTCAGTGGGACAGTCAGGAGCCTGCTGAAAGCTGTGCCAGTGCTTATGCTAACACACAGCTCACTCCTGCACACACTCCGTCTCCTCTGCTAAAAGACCTTTCCCAAAGCAACACAGTGGTATATTCCCACCTCGCCTGCTCACACCGAACACACCAGGAGGGCTTCCAAAGCTTCTCTTTGACCTCTCAAAACCACATATCTGAATCAAGAATTCAGGCAAAGCTGAAAGCTGTGCCAGTGCTTATGCTAACACACAGCTCACTCCTGCACACACTCCGTCTCCTCTGCTAAAAGACCTTTCCCAAAGCAACACAGTGGTATATTCCCACCTCGCCTGCTCACACCGAACACACCAGGAGGGCTTCCAAAGCTTCTCTTTGACCTCTCAAAACC